TAGACACTGTTACCACCAGTTTTCCTATTCCTCTCTGCAGTTCTCAGCTCCAGCAGAGATTTGCCTTGTCACTATAGACTGACCTATTTTACAACTTCATATGAATACTCTCTTAAAATCTTCAGTTGTCTGGCTTCTTCCACTCAACATATATGAATAATCATCTCTGATTGTATATATAATAAGCAGCTTACACTTTCTTGTTGTTACATATTCTACCCTATGGATGTATCTCCTTTATTATTATTTCATCTGCTGGATGGACATTTGGGTTGTTTGGAACTCTGGTGATCAAGCTATTAGAAATATTCATGGACAGTTCTTTGTGTGACTGTATTTTGAGTTTTTTTTAGACATAGGATGACACTGTCAAATGGTAAATGTGTATCTCACTTCACTTGAAAACAAAAACCAATGTGCTCACAAAACTGTTTTCCAAAGTGATTATATAATTTCACATTCCTATCAGTAATGTGTAACTTCCAACTAATCCACAATTGGTGTTTTTTTTTCTCTATCTCTCTCTTTTAAAATTTAACCCAGCCTACTGAATGCATGAGGAATCTCAATTGCTTTTAGTTTGAAATAGCCTGACTCTCCCATCATATGCACATTAGTCACACACACACACACACACACACACACACACACACACACACACACACGTATGTCAAGCTTTTGCTGAATGCTTGTCTTATTGAATTATAAGAGGTCTTTTTTTTATAAGCTGGATAAAAGTCCTGTTAGGTGCAAGTATCAAGCAGTTCTTTTCTACTCTTTAACCTGCCTTTTCACTTGTTTCTAGACATTACTTTACAAAGAACAATAGTTTTAAGTTTAAATATTCCACGTTAGTTTTATTTTCTGGCTATGACAATTCCCCACTGGAACACATGTCCTTTCACAGATCTCTGTTAGACTGATAGCTCCCTGAGTGTGAGTGTGTGTGTGTGTGTGTGTGTGTGTGTGTGTGTGTGTGTGTGTGTATACATCTGTGTACAAGTGCATATACATGTGGTTTTTACCTTAGAATAATTAGCATCGATGGGCATAGTGGCACACATCTTTAATTCCAGCACTCAGAAGGCAGAGGTAGGCAGATGTCTGTAAATCTAGGATAGTCTGGTCTACATAACTGAGTCCAGGCCAGCCAGGACTGCATAGTAACACCCTATCTCAAAAAAAAAAAAAAAAGAGGAAAAAGAAAATGCTATCTTTTGTGTAAATTAATTTTTAATATCTAAATAGTTAGCATTCAAAGTACCGTAAATGAAGTTTATAAACTAGCATGTTAGGTATTTTTTACTGGTGAACTGGGGAGTACTAAAGATCTATGAATGAGCTTCGCAATGGAGCTGGCACCCTTCTCTTCCTAACAGAGCCTAAGAATCACCTCCTTGAACCTTAGCCCCCACCCTACCCTGTTAAACTGGAAGGATAATATCTGCCGCCTCAGGGTCATTGAAAGGAACAGGGAGACAAGACACACCCAGCTTCTTCTGGCAGCAATGACTGTCTTGCTTTCTGATTCAGTTTATGTCACTTCACACACACCTTCATCTCAACTGTCCTGCTGGACACTTCTTTAAATTTAACTAATGCTATCCTCTTCCTGAAGACTTGAAGGTCAAGGCTGATCCAACAGTAGAGGACCTGATGAGCTGTTCCATCAAATGCAGATTCCAAGACACCATCTTAAAAGGCCATGCTTCTCCAAGTCTACCTCAGAGTGGCTGAGGCCTCTGCAGTGTCGCCTAGCTTCCTTGCTCTGCTGTTAACCCTGAGAATCACGAGAGAAAGACCAGTTCCACAGTTTTTTGAGCCAAATTTGAAGCAAACTTTATCTGAATACTAACTAGGATGATGGACTTGGGCCAGGACCATTCAGGGGTTCCCAGAATATGGTGATGAGTCATATTTTGCAGAAGCTTAAAAAGGCAGACCCAACCCATAAGACCATAGTATTTCCAAACATTTCTAATCAGGAGCAAGCATATATTCTGATATACTTCCTTCTTGCCTATCTCCCACCTACATACAATCAGGGGCAAAGCATACATATTAACATATTTCCTGCCCACATACCTCCCACCAACATGTGACTAAGCACATGGGTACAGTTGAGTCAAACAAACTTGTTCAGGGGAGAGAAAACACGTAGCTTGTTATCTCCCATAAACAATAGCCTCCAGCACCTCAAGAACTATCTGTCCTTGGACAAGGGCCTCTGACAGGCTTGAGGCATTTTTTGTTTCATGGATCTTTTAGGCACAGTAATTAAAATTTAAAACATAACTTTGGTTTTCATAATGCCCAGTGAGATAATCAAAGAAATAAATCTGTGGTCTGAGAAAAACCAGCTCCGGAAGCCCTGTGGTTCCATTTTCTTCAAAGCAGAGTCAAGACCTAGATCTCCCTCTCCACATGGAGTGTCAGGTTGAATGACACAGAAACTTGAAGGAAGCTTGACATCCATGCCCCACTGCTACTCTAGATCCTTTAGATTTGTCTAGCCATTATCTCCCCTTCCTCTGGTACCCCCTGAATTTCCCCTACTGCTGATCTCATGATTCAAGCAAAGCTAATCCTCCCTTCCCCGGTCAAGCAAGGTCAGCTTCTTGGACATTTTCAGGAACCACGGAGAATAGAGGTTCTCTTCCTGCAGAGACACTAGGCTAGAAGAATCCAAGCCAGGGCTGCCTTTAGGTGAGACAGACATCCCACCAGAGAAGGACAAGCACTGAGATGTGTCACTGAGAGTGACAGCTTTAGGACCCTGACAAAGGAGCTCTTACTTCTTTTGGGTTTAAGTCAGTTTGAGCTAGAGCTCCTTGAAAGTGGGAGTACTGATGGGTACACGGTGTCAATCCTCACCTGAAGATCTCTAAATCCTCCTCTCCTCTTGCCCCCACACTGTTCTACACAAAGGGACCTTCCATTTTTGGGCTCCCATGAAATTCCTCTGCACACCACTGTCCACACAGAGTTTCACTTCCTTACATCTGAAATTCTAAGGACCATTTCCCACACCCCTGTACACAGGGATCTTGCTTAAGGTCAGATCCAGCTCACTTTCCTGGCACCCTTTAGGAGAAAAACAGCCCTTTTCTTCTGAGATTCATGTTACAGTATCAATGGCTTTCCTTCTTTTTTTTTTTCAGACTTCCTGATTACTTACCTTGTTTTATTGTCCCCCCCCATCCACCCCGGCCCTGACCTCATCTCAGACAGATGTCTTCTGTCTTTCAGTTTAACAGACTGCAGTCAGTTTCATGTGGTGCTAAGCAGTAAGCACAAGTCTCAGTACCTTACACATACCACAGCTCAAACCTTCAGCCAGAAGTAGCATTAACTCCATTTCACAGAGAAACTGGGGCCTGGGAAAGCTAAATAAACTGGCCTAGAGTAACCCAGCTGCTAAGTGAGGATGCAGACAGGAGAGATGGCAAAGCTGACCTCCCAGTTCCTTGTTCTCTGCACTTGCAACATCCTCCACATTAACCCTATGTGTGGTGGGACTGGACAGGTGTCAGGGAGCCAGGGGACATCTGAGGGTCTATGGGGAAGTGTCAGTTAAGGGAGGGACCAGGTCCTACAGGTCACTGATTTCATGGCCTTGATAGACAGATTCACCAACTACTAAATAGCCAGGAAGCTGGAGTGTAGCTGGACTGAAAAGAACAGCTGAAAAGCATGTTATAGATTCTGTTCATCAGCTCAGGGGTCCTCTCTGCCTCAGCTGTCTTCAGAGGGAAGGCTACTGCCTTCAGGGCCGCACCCACCCTCAGTCTAGGGCTGGGTTCAGAATGTTCCGTCTTGTCCACATCCTCACTCATTACTTGCATTCCTCAGCCCTCCAAAAACTTCACACAACTGGTTCAAAAGTTCTGGTTTTCTTCTAGTTCTGAACAAAGGTGGTGGTGGTGGTAGGGGCACTGAGACAGGGACACGGTTTCACCATCTCCAGCTCTTCACCTCTGGATGCATATTTATCTAGATCTGCTCAGCTCTGAAAAGGCAGCCTTGGCAAACATCCTCCCAGCTTGCTGGCTCTGTCCAGTCTCCACCTCAGCTTCGGGCTGCACAAAGCCACCCTAACAATGTCTTAGCTTCCTCCTGCACATCACCCCAGTTATCATTGGCACACACTCTTCCTGGCGTCTCCCAAGGCAGAACAATTTCTGCAATGCATGTACACTGTCATTGTAAATACAAGGCAGCCAAATTCAGCAAGGCCGGCATGGCACCACGCAAGCTTAATTAGCGCTCACGATGACTATAATTAGAATCATTTATTGAGTGCTTCCTTATGTGCCCAGCGCTGTCCTCGTCAGTTTTCAAGCCCTTAAATCCTTCGAGACAACGCTGTGAACTAGACAATCCGATGTCCATTATGCCCGCATGCGCATGGGGCACAAAAAAAGGGCACTAAAGGACTCTGTCCCTCTCCAGTAGCAGGTTCACCCGCGAAAGTTAAAGAATAGGAAGGGGAGGGGGGAGAGAAGGGACAGGGAAATCTCCAGAAAGGAGGGGAAGGAGTGCACTGAGACACTTCCTAGTCATCGTTACTCAGCACTTTGAGGCGGAACCGCAGCATGGCCGCCCTGGTCGAAGGATACACTTCTGCCTGGGCAGTCCCCAGGCCCAGTCTGGAAGTATCTGACTTAGGTCTATTTGGGGCCTGGCCAATGTGATCCTAGAAGGACTCCAGATTGTGAGAGGGGACTATGAGCATCCTCCCTACGTAGTGCACAACGAAAATGCCCTTAGAGCAACTGGACGCACACTTACTTCCCTGTGTAAGTGCAGGGCGGTGTCTGGGAGCCCGAAG